AATTTACTCTGCCCGGTATAGATTGGATGAATACAAATATTTTAATCCTCCATAAAATAGGGAATGCAAATAGCATCGAGAAACGGATTCTRCTGTCGGCCACCAACTGGAATAAAGACGTTGCGTTAAAGAAAATACATCTGCCGTGAATACTAATAACCGCGTCCCACCTCCTCCGCGCCACTGTTGCACAAAAGCGGCCAGGCAGTGCCGACACCGCCAGTGCCCTGGGGCGGCGGTGGGAGCCCGGCGGGCCGTTCCGCGGGCAAGGGGAGGGAGCCTCCCGGGAGAGGCACCTCGCATCACAGCTGCCGACAGCACCTTCCCCGCGAGCYGCTCCGGACTTTCCCTGGCCAAAAACACCCCGGCAAGGTGTCTTTCCTCCCGGCCGGGTGCCGGCAGGTTTCGCCGCGGGCCGGGGAGGGGAGCGGGCGCAGGGGACGCGCTCGGGTGGCGGTAACACACAGAGCGGGCCGGGCGGCGGGATCCGGCTCTCCTCCCTGCCGGGCGGCCTGGGGGCTGCGCAGGAATGCACCCGCGCGGGGTGCTGGGCAGAAGTCAGCTTTGTTTTCGATTTATAATAAAATACATCAAAGGACACCATCCAGGTCCAGTTTCTGCCAGGCCGGGGTTACAATTCTCAGCTCAGTGATCAAGGACCTCTTTGCATTGCCTTTGCCCCTTCRGGTCAGAAAACGTCCATCATTTACAGACTCCCCAGAAATGAGGAAGGGAGCAGCCCTGGGCCGCAGAGCCGGTTCGTTTAACCAAGAAAATAGAAAGCGTGTCACCTTTTTAAAAAATAAATGACACCATTCTTTCGTAAATGTTGGGGATAATTATATGGTCTGGGGAACTTCTACACAAAAAAAACCCTGAAGAACAAACGGTGTGAGAACCGAAAAAATAAATCTGATTTCGGTCTTTGAATCCGTAGTTCACCCCTTTAGTAAGAGGACGCTACCCGAGAGCGGGAAAGCACCAGGAACAAGAGGGGTGTTATTTCGGCGGGAAGGAAGCCACAGAAGAAGCCGGACTCCCCGCCGCCTTGTCCCCCCTCGTCCCGGGTTTGTCCGTGAGCTGAGGCTAGCGCCCATTTACATCTCGCTCCAGCTATTGCTGTCCGTTCCCACACCCCGCGGACAGCAACTTCAACCCTGTTCCGTGAGCCCGTTAAAACACAGCAAACAACCAGACAGAGACAGCAACTACCACAGAYGGATGCAGGTAAAATGCCAGGAAAAATTATCTAATAAATGTTATTCGATCGCCACGTCCTCCGTTCGCAGGAAGCTTGTCCCTTGCCCCCCGCGGCGAGTTACTAGACCTAACGGCTCGTTTTACACTTAAAAGGTAACATTAATATTTTTGTTCTAATGAGGTATTATATAAACACCCGATCTCGTGCCTGGACAGCTTCTTAATTGTGTCTTTCAATTCAAATGGAAACTTTATCTGCGGGAGCTGTAATTTATTTGCTGCCATTATCTGTTCGCCAGGATCCTCTCCCACCCTTCCAAAACGCAGATGAAGGGAAGCTAACAGACAGCCCGCCCCTCAGAGTAATTGGTGCGCTAAGTGTTTATTTTAAGTGAGAATAATTTAGCTACAAATTTCATCAAGGAATAACATCCTTCACACATCAGAATAAAGGAGAGAAGGAAGAAGACTGAGCCCGCACACCGGGACGCTGCCGGCGCTGCCCCGCGCGGGGCTGCACGGCGGCCGCCGGGCGCCACCTAGAGGCGCTCCAGCCACGGGCGCGGGCTGGGGGTGCGGCCGGGGCGGCCGAGGGGGCGGCGGCGCTGCACGGCCCGGGCCGCGGCGAGGAGCCGGCGGCGGGAGCGCGGGGGACCGCGGCGGCTGGGGCTGGCCGGGGGCGCGGCGGGGCCAGGCAGGGCCCCTGGGAGCGGGCGGGATAGCGCGAACTTCTCTGAGAGACGGCGGGACGGGACGGACCCGCCGCGACCGTGCACACACCCACCCCGGGCAGCCGGCTCGGCCTCGCCGCTCCCCCGGCCTCCACCCGGAGGGGCGGTCGGGCCCTCAGCCCTCCTCGCTTCGCAACCTCCGCGCGGCCCCGCGGGCCGGCCCCGCACCTGCGGCCGGGCGCGGCTCCCGGCGGACACCCCGGGCGCGGCTCCGCCGCTGCCGCCGCCGCCTCGGCGCCGCTGTTGTTCCACAAACGCGCGGCAGCGCTGCTCCCGAGATGTGCTAATTGGTACCTGGCTGGCAGGGCGCGGGGTCCCTGTCCGCTCCCCGGCACAAAGTAGGCTGCTAGAAAATTTGAAATTGCCTTTCAGCCTAAAGCTGCCTTACCTGAATGTCATAATTACAGTAATTATGTACATCTAAATTACATGCTAATTAAATTAGAATCAAATCGTTCTAAATCGAAATCAAATGAGGTAGCGAGAATTAATCAATGACAACATAAATAGAGAGCTTCCTTCAGGGATATTTATTGTACCGATTCGAGCAGGAGCCCTAGCTGGGAGTCACCCGTCGATTTACTTTCGGAGTAGCAGTAATTTATTGCTCAGCGTTAATTCTAAGCCATGAGTCCGACGGGGCGGCGCAACCGAAAAGMGGCGCGGGACCCGTCGCCAGAAACTCCCCCCACCCCTGCCCGCTCCGAGATCCGCCCGAAGGACCCGGCGGGGCTGGGAGCCGAGCCGCCCAGTCCCGCCGCAGCCCCAGTCCCCGGGCCAAGCAGAGCCCCCCGCCCCAGGAGAGCCACCGGCCCCTGCTCCGGCTCCGGGGAGTCCCGGCCCGGGTCCTGTCCTCCCGGCCAGGCTGAGGGAACCGCTTCACGTCGCCGCGGCCCCCGCCGCTCAGCCCCGCAGMGGGTTAACCCTATTCCGCGGCTTTTACGGAAATAAATAACGTTATCACCAGAGCTACTCTTACCGCCATCCGCGGAGCGACAGCACCTCCTGCCGGGCCCCGCCGGCTTTGCCAAGAGCGGCGCTCGGCCCGGGGCGGCGGCGCCTCACGGTCCGGCGGGCCAGGGCGGGGCCGGGCGCGCGCAGCCTCCCCGCGCCGCGGGCGGTGCCGGTG